TTTCAGTTGTTGTCTCAGCAACCTTCGTTCACAAACATAAATTACACCCCGCAATGTCTCTGTAAAGTCATAGGATGACGTCAGTATCCATTGGACTCTATTAGCTAGCACACCACATCAGAGCAGACTGGGCTCTGGTTTCAGACAGAGGGTGAAAAGAGGTGCTGCAGCACAGGCAGTATGAGAACAATAAAGAGCTTTTTGAACATTAAAGCACGGAGACATGTCACAATAGAGACACTAAATACTGATATGAACCTGAAAATGAGCACAATAGGGCCCCTTTAAAGGAAGGTAGACAGTTTAGGATAGATAGTATAAACACTAATCAAATATTTAACATCTCTGATCTTGTATCTGTTAAAAAAAACGAATTGTGAAATGAATACCAGGACAAAAAAATAACAATGGACAAGCTTTTTTATTTTCTTCCTCTGTTCGTTTTGACACATCAAGGTGACACAAAACATAAATTTGAAAATAATGTGTGACTTTTACACCTAAAATTCACTATTGGTTTGCACTAACAAGATAGTATAGCTTGTTAATTAGTAATTTTAGAAAGAGCTAAAAAGTGTAATATATTGATTTTACTTCAGAAACCGCTTCCAGTCTTTATGCTAAGCTACGCTTACTGCTTGTTGTCTTAAAGTTCACAGTCAGCTTACATACGTGACAATGCTATCAATATGGTATAACTCTGAGAGTCAATCTCTCCCCAAAAGTCTAACTGTTCCTTATAATAAGTTTAATGTTTTCAAAAAGATACACTCACAGCCCCTATCTCTGATGGCCAGACTGGGACACACATAAACTCTGTGCACACACAATGAAGGTGACTATCATCTATTCTGTGCAGCTTTAGGCCCCCCAGGGCTTTCAATGGCCTTTTTAGGGTCCCATTAAACAACTGTGAGCAAGCCTGCAGGTGGGAGGAATCAAGACGTAGTGATGGCTCTATCTGTGGGCAGATGGTGATGGAGGAGGGAGAGTTGGTGCTATGACTTTTGAGGGAATGTGAAGGATGGAGAATAACAGCAAGTGAGGAGAAATGAAGGGGTAACAACTGACCAAACGCTGACCTTAAGTTGAGATGAAGTTGTGATTGAATGAGAAGATTCAGGGTGGTTTGAAATTAAAAATAATTTGAGGGAAGAAAGTGGAATTGTGAAGTTTTAAAATCATCTCCAACTGGCCAATGCTTCACCATTCAACCATGTTTCAAGACAATTATGCAAGGAGTTTTTCCAGACGACAGAAGCTCTAAAGTGTGGCTTAAAAGATCTCCAGGCCTCGTAGTTTAAAGATAGCTCACCTCCTGACACTACAGCTATGGTCTTTGACCCTATCGACCTTAGAACTTGAGACTTGCATGCTAGATGCTCCCTCACCTCAAGATACAAAATATCTTTGTGCACATCCGCTAAGCAGACCCCTCTAAACAGCGCCTGTTTACTATCTGAAAGCAGCCACAGTGTAAAACGTCTCTTTGATTATTTACTTCAGTTTGGAATTTGTTTTAATTAAAGTTTTTATGAAACACAAGTTTACAGTTTGCTGTTGGTTATAAAATGAGAGAATCAGAGAGACACGGGCCAGATAAAGCAAATGGAAATGTTCCATTCATTTGAAGAGAAGGAACACACACAGATGGTGATAACATGTGGAAGCACGCACTGCAATTTCACACAGCAATTAGTTCACAGCTAAATACTGTGGGTTTGTGTGTGAGCTTCCCTCTGAGCGCTTGTAACAGCCAGCTGTGTACGAGTGAGGAGACTTCCGTTAAGAAAACCAAAGGGGTACATTTGGTGAAGTTGAGTGGGATCGTTTTCTACAGGAACACATCAATACACACTGGAGACTTAATTCAGTCAACAGTTGTGATTAACTTATCATCCCTATTTATTTGTGACTTATTTTCTGATTTAAAAGGATAAAATACCCTTGTTGTCATGGCAGCAGACATTTCAATTCCACCATTATGGTTTGCTATAATAAGGAAGGGAGACAGATATTTGTCACGCCATTATAATGGATTGAGCAGGTTTTGATGTGCCCACTTCCCCATGATTACATTTCCTCATCATCATTTAGTCCCAATGGGTGTTTGTCAAGGGAACCATGGTGATGCTATCAATAGGGTCCGCCTACTAGAATGCGTCATACCTAAATCACTCTTGATACAACAAACTACAAAAAATCAGGAGTTGTTAAAACTTCTTTTGACAGATTTGACTGCTGTGAGATTTAAACTATCTGAGACTTTACACCCTAAATACTTGATTTGAGAACTAAAGCAAGGATTATAGAGCCTTTGGTTCTGACTGTTAAACACAACCACATCAGGTATGTCTTGCATGACCATACAGTCATACACCTTTACATATTTCATTGTTAGACCTCTTGTTTGGACTTAAAGAGGACATATTATGCTCGTTTTTATCTTCAGATTAGTATTTTTTGCTTCTACTGTCTCCATGCTTTAATGTTGAAAAAAATCTTTATTGTTCTCACACTGCCTGTGCTGCAGCACCTCTTTTCACCCTCTGTCTGAAACCAGAGCCCAGACTGCTCTGATTGGTTAGCTGGCCAGCTCTGTTGTGATTGTTAAATCGCTTAAAAATGTCCCGCCCCTTAGCCTATCACGTACAATGTGTTAGGAGCACTAGCCAATAGAAGCGCGAGTGTTACATAGGCTTAACAAGTCCCTGTGAATAAAACCCTGCTTACCTCCAGAGCTTGGATCACTGCTCAGAGGATCCAGATGGTTCCGATTCTTAATTATAGAAATTGGATTCTGGGACATCTGCTCAGTGTCAGAGCATGTTGTGTTTGTCTGCTGTTTGTTGTCGTGGACTGTGTTTATGTTTATGTTAAAATTGGAATTATGGGGGCTGGGCTGCCAGCCAGTGCTCGGCACACCAGGAAGTGCTATTCCACCATTCGTTCCTCAATTACAGTATGTGCTATTTCAGTTAACCAGCCTGTTAAACAGCAGACAGCTAATTTAGCTCAGCTCAGCTTCATGAGCTCAGAAACAACGAGAGCTGACAAACATGTGTGTGCTTGTGTATGGCCTATTACAGATGCTCTATGAGAAAATGTTATCTGTAATATCATTGCAGATCATTACTCGTTCACTGCAGTTCACTTTTTCTCAAAGATGCCCGCCTCCCTCCTTTGTCTAGTAGTATAATTCCAAAGTTTAAAACTCAAATTTATTCAGCAATCAGCAGTTTGTACAGTTGTCCAAAAGCTGTTTAGCTTGGTACTCTAATTTCACATATAGGCCAAATCACATTTTGGGATTCAAAGATTTGGTTTCAGGTCCGATGAACATTTTTGACTATCGTAGTGGAGATACCAAGGTTTGATGAAGGGTTGGAAGTCCACTGATGCTGCCAACAAAATCTGGAGATGATTGGATAAGCAACTGTAGGAGTTCACAATAAAATGTGTAGTATGAGCGTGTGTGAGAGAGAAGAGGAAGATTTGCTTCATAATTGTATTAAAGTCTCAATGCCACACACTTAACACTAATATAATTAGTTCCCAATGTTGCCTCCAGTCAAATATTTATTTAAATAATCTAACAGAGTCTCAGTGGTGGAAAGACCCAATGTGTTTCAAATAATTCCTCAGCATATCTGACCCAGTTATATGCAATTTTTGTTTGAGGCTTCTTAATTCATGTTTTATGAAATGCAATATATCTTAGTGTCCTTTATAAATTTGGCTCACCTAGCCGGAGTCTTCCCTGTTGAAAACTCAACTGTGACACGTTAGAATGTTTTGTGCTCAAATTTGCAGCTACAGTATGTACGGGACATAATGGTCTGATCAACTGGTCTAATCATGTGGGGTTATAAAAGTTCACCAAATGAGCACCTTGTTGATGATTTGCTCTGTAGCTGTTAGCGGTGATGGCTATCTGACATCTGTGGAGACGTGTATGTTCAGCATCACTCGCATTCCTCCTGGACGTGTCCAGATCTGCTGCTGCCGCACACATCCTCATTCCTTTACTTCTCTGTTTCACAACTCTTTCACACTAAAAAGATAACAGATGAGTTCAGTGAACAGGGAAAGGATGGGAATATCAGCAATGGAATGGACTCGTTGCTGAATTCATGGAGGAATGGCTCATCTGAAAGTGTGCAAAGTTAAAGCCGTTAGTTAGTACATTTATTAAAAATAACTTTGTCATATCTGCTAAAACTGTCAGTATATCCTGACAGAAATACGTGAGACGGGGTATCTGTAAAAAAAAAAAAAATCATGTTCCTCTGCCTTCTCCCAGCACTCCTAATAATTTGATCTTGCCTGAATAAAAGAACTGAACAATCAGAGCTGAGAAATCTCCAGAACTCTGATCTAACTAGGAAGCTCATCAAATGTTAATCAAGTCTCTCCATTGCCTATTTCCCCCCTCCGTTGTTTCAGAACCATATTTTACTTCCTGTTTAGATGTTAAATGAGAGAGAAGGTGTTAAAAACAGTAAGGCTCAAACTAAGCTCCGCCCACTCTGCTGCAGGCAAACACTACGAGCATTTGGGGAGGACACATGATTTATCTAACTACTGTCAGGATATAGTGAAGGTTTATTTCATTTAATAAAGTTACCTTTAATATGATGCAACCTCAATATCTTCTTTTTGCACTTTCTGATACAACATGTACCTTTGATCTCTGACTACGCCAGCATATGATGAATGTTTTAGAGACCGGAGGCAAACTAAGTTCTAGTTTGTCATGGTGAAATATATGTTTCACCAACATCAAAACGTTCTCTTGCATCAGTCCATGTCCATTGGAAAACCCAAGATTCTTCCTCTTGCTCAACACTCAAAGCTCTACCTTTGATTCAGTGTAGCTCAGTTTTGCTATCGATCTTCTTACGTAACTCTCGGCAAGAAAGCAATCGGTGTATTCAACAAATTGTCAACAACTTGAAATTGGTCTTTTAATTGGGAAACATTTCTGTGTCTGTTTGCAGAGTCTCCTCCAGAGAGGTCAGGACGCCGACGCAGCATGCCCGGCAGCTCCTCAGACAAGAACCCCCCCACCATGGAGGCTACGTCCACTGCTGCCACGCCTTTCAGAGTCACCGTGAGTACTGTGAGTGTGTGTCTGTGTATCGTCCCTGTCTTCTGTGCTAATGAAATATGATTTTTATAGCCCCAAATCATCACAGAAGTTATATAGGTGGATGTGCATATAAACAGATACCGTATGTATAAAGGTTAATCAATACATTTAAATGTGCAGGCAGCAGTGTGGGTGAATGTTTAGTGCAGGTTATTTTAGATTGGTTACATGGTTACCTCTTGAAAGATTGTCAGCGGCACTTTGTGGTGTGCCAAGCAGGCCTCTGACTTTTCTCCTCCTTACTTTGCCTTAAGAAGCTCTTAGCTGTACATCAGTGTGTACAGAAGGCTGCTCTGGTGTCCAGATGGACTCGTGCCAATCTGAAACAAATTGACTTCAAATGTTGGAATGGGGCCTTTGATGTTTTGCGTATACACATCACACATCTACACATCTTGGGTTTATGTTCAGCACACCATCCTCTGCTGCTTTTTTACTTCCTGTGTGATTTTCCATTGCATTTCACACTGAATAACTTGTACACACACTCCCAAACCAGAACCTGCACGCACAACACATTCACTCACTTAGAGGACAACTACACACACAAACACAGACACTCTCACACAGAGCAGTCTTCATCTGGCTCTAAATCGAATCTGGCATGCTTGCTGCCATGTTTAATTCAATAGATAAACAGCCAGTTAATGAAGTAAAAAAAAAAGATCCGCTGTGAGTCATCAATTTCAAGCTAATTAGCAATTAGCAGTGCACATTTCCATTAATAAATAACGAGTGGGGAGATGACGACCCGGAGGTGAACTGTAAACAGTGGATGTTGGGTCAGAAGGGCCAAAAGCACTCTGCGCTCTCAGCCTTTGTGGAGCTCTAGCAGGTATACTAATGGGCCATGTTGAGTGTTAAAAGGCATTGCAATATTTCTGAAAGGTGTCATTTCTTTCTTCTTTTCTATCAGCCATCCTCAGCACTCAGTTTTATTAAGAGGAAGTCTCAACAACAAAAACCAACATTGGGATGCCTCTAAGGAAAGTAAAAGCTCACAGTGAATAAATTAACAACTAGGCGAGACCCGCTGGTGTTGGACCACCCGCGGAGTGGGAATAAAGTGTGTCACGAAACAATTTTAGAAGGTGCAAATATAAAATCACCTCAGCTTGATGAGGCAGAGAATGCCAAACTCTCATTGGTCCAGATAAAACCGTGAAGATAGCGTTGCAAGGGAGTGTGTGCATGCATGGATGTGTTTGCTCTTGTCTTGTGAATGTGAATTGAGTCATTGAACTGTTTTACTTTGATATGATCAGGAATCAACGAGTGGATATAGAGAGGTATAGAAGGTGAATAAAAAGCTTGCAGGAGACAGAAAGGGTCAATAGTGGAGGCTAAATATTGATTAAGTGTCTCTCATGCAGTACTCTCCTGAGGAAGAGAGAGAGAGAGAGAGAGCACTGCAGCAAAGTCATTCTGTCCCAATCACATGACCACTTCATTTACTCTGATAGCTTATTGCTAAGCAGCAGTGAGTGTTTGCAGATAAAAAACCTTCCCCAGACAGTGTTTGACCCTTTCCTGCACTTTTTCTCATACTGCCCCCTTCTGGTCTCTAGAGGCAGCACAGCCAACCAGGCAACATTTTAAAATGAACTTTTATTAAAGATATGTAAATGTTCTGCTTGAATGAATACATTTTAAGGATAGTTAAGGGAGGTGTAGATGGATCAAATACTCATTGAAAGGGGCGGCTGTGGCTCAGGGGTAATTGGGGTCTACCAATGGTCGAAGAGGTATTCAGATCTTATTCTAAAGTGAAAGTAATAATACCGTAGTGTAGAAATATTCTGTTCGAGTAAAAGTCCTGCTTTCAAGATTCTACTCAAGTAAAAGTACAAGTATTAGCAGCAAAATATACACAAGTACCAAATCTATGTATTTTATTATTGGATTATAATTAATGATCCATTAATGCGTTGGATAATTAATTTTGCTGCTGGAAAAGAGACACATTAACTTGTGTACTGCCCGTGATCTCCATTCATAATAGACACCATAATTCATTATTTACTTTGGTTTTTGTATTAATAATATGAACCTACAAAAGAACATTTGAACTGATCTTGTAAAAAAATGCATGATAGCGCTTCTTTACCAGCAGTATTTGAGTAAATGTACTTAATTACTTTACACCACTGGTGTCAACCCATCAGAGGGTCAGTGGTTAGTCAACCCCAAAAACTGCTGTTGAAAAAATGGCATGTCTACATTTTTTAAGTATATGTAAGTCGCTTTGGATAAAAGTGTTAGTTAATTGACATGGAATATCAACATAAACACTTGTAGTATATAGACACAATAGATAAAGTATGCAGATGGATAAGGTTCAGTCATGGGCAGGCAGTCAGTGGGTTTCTCCTCCTCCTCGCTTCTCACTTTTCTCCCTTCAGTGAAAAGAGTTGCGGTGACATCTAAAGTACCCCTCCTAGGCCTTGAGCTAAATCTGTCAAAATGCTTTTCTCTCATGTTTTTTGAAGAGACTGGGTTGAATGTGTGCACTCACAATTGAAAGCCACGTTCACACTCACACAGAAGCCCAGCCTGGAACACTTCTCCAAAACAATTTTCTCCCCAGTAGACATTGGAGAAAACTAAAACCTCCCCAAAGCCTTATCTTCCACAGCCAATTGAGAAATATTAGAAAAGTGCATACATCAAGTATAAAAAGTTACTACTTGCTAGTTTCTCTTATTCAGTGGCTGTTTAAAGAGCGGACAAACAAACCTTACCTCAGTCCGTCACGTCCTCGTCCCGCTGATTGCCCCCGCTGGCTGGATTGATTCTCAATTGTGCCTGAGCTCCTTGTCCAATCTCTCCCTAACTTTATTCCCCCCCACACCTCCCCTCTCCTCTCAGATACTAGCAGGGGGTCTAATTGGACAGGTATGTCTCTTGTTTTCATCAGGTTGTGCTAGAGGAGGACAGAGAGGTTGATGTAGCAGCAGGGAACACCCCGCTGATTGTCCAGGCACAGATTCTATCACAGCCCATTAGGGAAGCCAGGAATTGCCAAGCCAAGGGAATAGAATTAACTTGTTGCATTTGCTTTAATTTCATGAAAAAAAGCACAGCACTTGTCTTCTCAGTGCTCAGTTAATGGGCTTGGACAGGCTGAGATTACAATCAAGTATGCAAGCCTGTTCTGCACTCTCACAAATACACAGATCTGCACTGTAAACACGGTGACATAGTAAACACTGAGACTCTATTTCCACTACCATGAAATTCCATTTAGACTTATCGAGGGTTGGTGCTAACCAGCCCCTCCTCCCTTGGAGGATGCATGTTGAGTCAGATGAATCCATCCCCTCCTTCAGCTAATTAGCTGTCAACAGTGGAAATGTGGAATTATTAAAGAGCCCGTTGAAATGCTAATATGTGGCACTGTATTGGACCCCTGTCAGGTTGCACTGGCTGTAATAGCCTTAACATGTCTCTGTGTAAAAATGCAAACTGAAATGTAAATCGAGAGACATTAGAGCAAAACCAATGTATGTTAGACTAACTGGAAACATTTATCCAAGGGGTCTGTATTAAGTCAATAATTGACATTAATATTATTTAACCAAGCTCACAGGGAAATTGTATTCCCATAAGTCAATTTTACACATTTCTTTAGAACACAATAGAACAGTGATGTGACGTATTACATCTCATTAGATGTCATTTGTGTATGTTAGCAGTTACTGGCCTTGTCAGCTGTAAGAACTCATTGAATACAGCAAGACGTAATGTGGAGACATCAAGGTGTTAACACTGTGTTTTCACAGTGGTGGAATAAGCACTCAGATATAGTAACAAAACTAAAGTGTTAGTGTTGTGATCAAAATACAATTAAACTACCAAAACCCAAAGTACTCATCATCTGTAATGGACCATTGCAAAACAATATATATTAAATGACTGGAATATGATTATTGGTGCATTAATCTGTCTATCAGGAATGGTACAATTGGAGCTAATGAAGAAGACAAATACTGCTGGATATCTTAACCTAATCATTATATGTTTGTTCATGAATCAAATCAAACCAAATGCACATAAAACTAATTGTGAAACAAAATACAATTTCATAATCAAAAGAATCCCATAAAAAGTAGGACCCAGGAGTTCTGGAAGCCTGAAAGCAGCCCTACCTATAGGCTTTATTAAAAAGAAAAGTGTTTAGCCTACTCTTGAATGTGGTTATTAGATGGTTCATGTTTTGTGCCTGAAAATGTATTCTGTAATAACTGGTGTCATATTGAAGCACATTTCTAAGAAGCGGACTGATCAGAACGAAACCTTCATTCTATAGTCTCAATGTCTATGACGTGCCGAGCCCTGATCCACGGCCACCATGTCACTCATTTTCTCCTCACTTTCCCCCTCATTTACTTTCATTCTATTGCTTTTTCTATCAGCTCATGCCCTGCCGTCCCCTCATTGTGCGCCCCTTCTCCACGTGTCCTTCTATCATAGCTCATCCGTCTCTGGAAATCACTCACTGTCTTTAAGTCAGTTTTTTCACTATAGTCTCACCTCTATTTCTGTCCTCTCTCTATTTCATCCCACATATATATATGTTTTCTCTTGCCCTCTCAATCATCTCTCACGAACAGGCGCTGAAGACAAATTAAATGCTAACACTTTAGCGCTTCTGGAGCGTCTTGCCTCCCGTGGGGTATAATCTGACGTTAATGTAGGCGTCACTCATCCTTACTGACTGATTGTAAGTGTTGAAATAGGACAGTTTAAATATTCTGACCTTTAACCTGTGCAACAGCTCTGTGAGGGCTTTACAATTCTAAGTGAATTAGAGAAGGGTGTTATATCACGTTGCATCGCTGCACTAAGCGAGAACGAAAAATATTATTAGAAGTTACAGTATAGGGAGTGTCATTTTCTGACCTGGGCTTTTTATTCTCTCGATTCGCTCCATCCCTTCTAAAACGTCCATCCATCAGGGGAAGCATAGAAGTAAAAACAGAACAGCCACTAATCAATTCACCTCGCCTACAGGGACAGGTTTCTATTCACCGACTTCTTTCCACGAATGGAGAAAAAAGAGGTTTTAATTTGTTAGCTGTGAATATGCCATCAGCAGCAGCAGCAGCAGGCACACACTCTGCAGAGAGAGGAAATGACGTGAAACTACCCTAAATGTGGAGGGGATTGTGATTGATATCCAGAAATGATAAAAGGTGTGTGTCATGGTGTCGGTTTTTTACTGCTCTGCCATCTTAGCCATCAACAAATCACAATCCCTTGCCTCCCCTTGATTCTTTTCCTCATGTTATTTTGAAGGCTCTGGTCTGGAGGGGATGCTATATGCAGTTGAGGAAAAAACAATATTCCTTCTGCACAAAGTCTGACTCATATTTTGTCATTGTTTAGAATGGTGCTTATGCTAATCTAACCACATGCCCACGCATCCACATATGGAGTGGATAATGGCTGAGGGGAAGACTCAGAGAATGAGAGTTTGATTGAGAAAGCAGCAGAGCCTCAGGTGCAGCAGTGACTCAGCCTCTGTTATTCAGCTCAAAGCTCCCGCACACACTTCACCGATGGCAGGTAACAATTGGAAGTCATTTTCTGCCCATTTTCGGTGGTCTCACTTGAAGTATACCATGTCAGATCTATAAATATCTATCATTATTATCACCACGGTCAGATCCATATCGAGTGTGCGTAACTGCCATTGTTGATGATTACAAAGGCAACAATTGGTTAGTTTGTTGTGACAATAACGAAAATGCATATGATACTACCACACAATTAACAAATCCATCAACACTAGCTCTGGCCTTTTTTTAATGCTTCAATGTCAACTTATTATTATACAGTTTTTGCAGTCCAATACATTGGTAGACTTTGACCTCAGTAGCATCTTTTTATAGATTTTCCGTGCCTTGGATATTCTAACGTCTTTCAAACTCCATGTCCACATTTAAATGCAGACCTTCTGTTATAAATGTGAAGCTTTTAAACCAAGACGGAGGTATTTGTTAGACTTTTGAAAGCTCCCTGGAGAGCCTCAGAAGAACTACTGCTTCCACCGGCTGAGTGTTCTTCCTTATCTTCTGTGTAGAAACTCTCCTTTTATTAGTGCTTGTTTTCCAAGATTTTCCTCAAGCTTTTTCACTACCGTCAGCAGCTAGTTTGAATGTTTAGCAGCTGTGAGTAACCATTTCCATTTCCATGAAAATGGCAGTGAACATAAACAGCACCCTCAAAACAATTGAATATTCTGATATTTGTATTAGACAAACAAAGAGGAGATCGATCAAATATAATTTATATTTTATAGTATAATCCTATAATGATAATAAATACTGTATCGTATAGTAATGAAACGTAAAATGGCATTTAACTGACGAGGTGTTTTGCTGGTGAGAGATTGTAGTTGCTTTAGCGTGTAGAAGCTAGTAAGCCTATTTGATTTGTTGTAGATAGGCACAACATGTTTCATATGCAGACCTTATTTTCCTGTTCCATGTTAAAATAAACCATTTTCAATGGTACCGCTGAGAAAGAGTAATTTCTTTGTTCATGGAAAAGTAGTTAAAGGTCATGGAGAAGTCATGGAAAATCATTGGTGAAAAAGTGTTTGAACCCTGATACAGGTTTATGGAATTGTGCTAAATGTCCCTTTCTAGGGAAACGACAGCAGGTGACTGTTGCACAGTGGAAACATGCCTGCCAACATGTTAAAACTTTCAAAAACATATGTTTTACTCTCTGTATTTTACTGCACTTTTATATATTGTTCCTTTCCTTAAGTCTGTTGTATGTTGCATTGTTAGAGGAGCCTGACACTTAGGTTTTTCTTTCCCAAAACTATGCTGTAGCTGTTTTGCATCTGACACAAAAAAGCGCCTCTAAATGTTCTCGAATGTGTATATGAAAGACTGCATTTAAAGGCATCATACATGAAAACAGCTAACTTGAAATATAATATTGTGTACATTTAAATGTGTTCAATATGATCAGTTTTCCAGTTTGAACACACTAAACACTTTTGAAATAGTTATGTCTGGACACAGAATTGTCCCTCCCATGATTGACGACGCCTGTATTCTGACATCAGCGGATCTTTGTTCCTCTCCCAGAGTGTTTCACTGATGACAGGTGTTGTTTATCAGGATGCATTGGCTGCTCTGTGATCAGCTGGCAGGCTGTCTACAAGTCACTCTCTAATTATGCCTTTACCACTGTTGCCCTGGGCGACCTCTTCACACTGTAGGTGGTAATTATACAGGTGTGTTAATGGCATGACTGGGACTGAGGGAGGTCTGATCACTGTGTGTGTTCCAGCCCTCCTTGTGAGGTGTGTGTGCCATTAGAGGTCTCAGTGCTGCAGCTACGTCTCTGAGGTTATATTATGAATGTGTTCAGACTGTCGACGCTGCTATTTTGTGTTATCTTAATAAAAAAAGCTACACCTGAGCCTAAATGCTTTCTAGTTTAGTTATTTCTCCAGCATGCTGAGTTGTACATTTCTTCATGCTGAAGCTACTCCATCAACTCTTTTCTTCACCCTATTCATTCAAAGACCTTCGTTCATCCTCTTCATCCTCCTGAGCTCTTTCTCAGCAGTGAATTATTTGAAAATAAAGCAGAAAAAAATCAAATGTTCTTATCTTTTTCTACCTAAACAATCGCCACAGCATGCCGTTTCTGCACCACATCTCATTCGTTCTTATTCCCCCGCTCTTAATGCCAGCCACAGTTGCCATGGAGACAGCGAGGTGCTTGGGTGAGTGTGATTGCAGATGTTAGAAGAACTAAACACCCAGACAGAGAAAGGAATGACAAAACAACAAATAAAGGGGTGTATCTGGTATAAAAACACAGATGTTTGAGCGCTGTAATTTGTTAAATGTTGACATAATTACCGCAGTGGGAAACAATCCCTAATTTCTGCATAAATATTACCTATCAGCTAATTATGTCTATGCTCTTTGGGAATCTTCTATAGAGCGGTGCAGGAATAAGTCCTATAACGGGAAATGAGTCAGCATTTTAGCACTTCCAGGCTCCCTCGTCTCAAATGTTTTTTTAGTGAGTTTTTGGTTAAATGCCTGAAATAAGGCTTGTGGTTTGTTCTAGTTAACCCAATTTTCAAGTTTCTTTCTACGTGTAAAATACGTCAGCGAACACACGTTGCAAAATGTCTAAAGCTTTTAGGTTTCGTAAAATAGCTGGTTGCTAATAGGGGATTAAATGAGAGTACAAAACATCATAAGCCTTTAGCTTAGCGGTGGTGATGTGAAGTCATGTGAGCGTGATGTAGTCTGTCTATAGCGTTATGTTATCTCTTTAATTCTAGGGATTGCATTTATGCTGAAAAAATCCTAAAGTATTGTACATATGAGGAGATTATCCTGGTGAACAAAACCTGTAACGTGTGTTCACCAAGGATCTTATTTTCTCCAAACTTCCTGTTCATTTCTTTTCAAGGAAACCTTGGCATGCCAACTTTAGGGGTCATCTTAGAATCACCACTACACCACTCTTTTGTCAAGGCCTTATTGAATGTGTTTGCATTGTCTCTTTGTATTTAGGGAATAAATTGTGTAGACATTGTCCTCCGGCTGTAAACATCACCCTGATGTGAAGATCTATACTCATTTATCACTCATTTACTGTTCATGACACCCTGGATTTAGGAAATGGATCACAATGTCAGTATTAATAAGTCCTGTCTCACTCATGATCTTGATGTATTGCCATCTCTGAGATGTACCTCACAAAGTAGCTGAGACTCACTTTATTGACTGTATGTGTCTCTCTCCATCAGGGCTTCCTCAGTCGCCGGCTGAAGGGCTCCATAAAACGCACCAAGAGTCAACCCAAACTGGACCGAAACTCCAGCTTCAGACACATCCTGCCTGGCTTCAGGAGCGTTGACAATGACAGGTACTGTGTGTGTGTGTGTGTGTGTGTGTGTGTGTGTGTGTGTGTGTGTGTGTGTGTGTGTGTGTGTGTGTGTGTGTGTGTGTGTGTGTGTGTGTGTGTGTGTGTGTGTGTGTGTGTGTGTGTGTATTTCTTGTCTTTTTTGGTGCCTCTCTCTCTCTGCCTGACAGCTGGTTGTTCAGGTCGCTGTTGACATTTGCGTGTTTTTTTTTTTGTGAAAACAAGTGAATCCTGACTCTCCAATCTGTCACTTGTAATGTGTTTTCCCTCTGTCGGTTTTTTGTAATACAGGAGGAATCTCATGTCCTCTGTCGTTTCATGCCATGGCACATTTGATTATTCGGAGAGTTGTTGCTAGAGTTTGTATGCTGAATTATGAATGTATTTGCATTGCCATAAGGGCTTGGAAATGAAAACCTGATATTTGCAGATCGCAACAAAACAGCTTACTAAGTCACAAACCTTTGTCAACAAGGAAAGTTTGTCACCTGAAGCATCCCTAATAAAGCGTGCAGAGTGCAAGCACAGCAGCTAACTGCTTGTGCTTTCCTCTTGGTAATAAACATATGCCATATGCTGTTTTATAGCAAGGGGTATGGTGCCATTAAGTACCTTATACTTACCCAAGATATAAGGTCAAATAAACCTTTTTACAGGTAAGAATTCATACAATCTATTCAAAGAGAGGATTTTTCTTCAGCTCAAACAGCTGTTGGCCTTTTTTTTAGGTTTTTCATTCTACTGAATTTAATGAAAGAGTAAGCTTACAGGAACACGTCACCCGCAAAATTACCAAATTTGTAATCAGTAATTCGCCTTGCGTTACTTGAATTTATGAAGCATTTTTCATCCTTGAATGCCTCCATGTTCAAAGAAGAATCTAAAAACAGATACACGTTTGGTATATTGAAGTAATTAGGAGGAATGTTTAACAACAGCTAAACTAAATCAGAGCATCTGTTTTTCCAACTCTCAGAACACTCGTACAGTATTATCTTATAAATCCACTCGTTTGCTCACTACTGCCTAAACAATGCATTTTAGTTCTAAATGTTGCTATTTAAAACACATGCCATGTTCTTTAACAATCCTCAGAAAAGTGTGTAGCACGCATAACACTTCTTGATGTAGTCATGCTGTTTTTAAGACTTTTCTTTTAGGAGTTAAAAGTTTGTATGATGATGAGTCATTTATGTATAATATCGTTATTTTGAGGGTGAATTATTCCTGTTTAAGAAAACATTTGAGGTTAGTAATAGTGACTTCATTTATTTTTGAATTATGAAGTGCCCAGCTTATAAAGTTGCCTCTTATCATTTCTATCAGTCCCGCCTTCTCTGGTCTCAGAGTCTAAACTCAACAGATCTATGTGAACCCTCGCGTCCACAGCGCTGCCCCTGAGATGGTGTTTTGCTTCAAGCTTTGATAATTGCCAGTTTCTGATAACCTCTCCTGATTTCCTCAGCAGTTCAGCCACTTGGCAAACATTTGGCCTGGCTTAATGACGTCAATTAGTTCTCCGGACCTGTGATCGCACTGTTTTTGAAATGTTTTGATGGTGTTCCCATGCATGCACAAGTAACAGCTATATCTCCCAGCACCTTGGATAAAAGCCACGTTGTCCCTCTGTGGAGATTCATTAATGGAGGTGCTGCTTTTGAAAAGATGTTCTGCAGCTTTCGTTCTCAAAACTCCGAGCCGAGTTCTGCCTCTCTTCGTATTTTTAATGAGGCATTACCATCACTGTCAAACTCTCACAAGGGAACACTAGCGATTGTTCAGTGTGGAACAGAGCGAGCTGGTTCTCTGGTGCAAGGGAACAAAATGAGCTCATCTGTCCTCTCTTTGTCCCGCTGTCTTCTCTCATTCCCTTTCCCACTTCCACCCAGTTCTATAATGCCTCTATTTTTCTAACCCCGCTTCCTTCTATCCATTTCAAACTCATCACTCTCCTATTCCGACCTCATTGTCCCCACTTCCTTTTCTCTGTTTTTACAAACAGTAGTGAGGATTTGCTAACCTATCAGCATGTATATGTTTCCTTCGGATCAAGAATGACAAAGGAAGCTAATATAAGACAGGAAATTGGACTACAGGAGGTCTTTTATCTCACCTGACTCCTATACGGTCTCCATTAGAGCTGCACAAGCCATTGGAGCTATCAATACAATGATTTTCTTGCTGTTTATTTCTAGTAAATGTATCTTCATTAAGTGATAGTAAGTTAATGAAAGTTAGTTGTTTATCCTTTTATACGGAAATATGATCTTTTCTTTTACCATTTTATGGAAATCCACTGATCAAGATAGGTGAAACCAGTTTATACTGAAAGTATTGAAATATACAACATAATTATTGCCTGTAAATAAATGTTTGTATTACTTATTAACTGCATAACATTTGCTATCTGGTGCCTCAGCCGCAGTCATATTTTTGAGTTTGAGTTTTTAGTATTTATCTGTTTTTTATTTTGCAGCTACAGGGATTATGTTGAATGAAAGCTCATTTGTGGTATGATTCTAAACATTTTGTATCTATGTTTTTCACATTCTCATTTTGTTAAATGATATCATCAAGAGGATCTGTAACAAACAAATTCTCCCACACCACACCGCTCCTCCGCTCCCTTCACTGGCTTCCAGTAACTGCTAGAATCCACTTCAAGACACTGGTACTTGCGTACCATGCAACGAATGGATCTGGCCCTTCCTACATCCAGGACATGGTTAAACCATACACCCAGGGTTCGAGTTATGTGGGAGCCAATGGGAGCTGAGCTCCCATAAGGAGGGGTCTGAGCTCCCACGGACGCAGTGAAATCATACATCTGTGGGGGTCGCTAATACATTACCAACAACCATTGTTTTAGTCACAAATAATGCATGTGTCAATGTAATGAGTATTATTTACGTTAACGTGAACTACGCATCTCTTGAATGACAATATGCCTGCGCTGCACCCCCAAGGTGCGCAATACATTATTGCACAATCTATGCCTGTGAGCGTGCTGCGCGAGCCGAGATGATGTGTGTGTGTGTGTGTGCGTAGTTGAACCTTTTCATATTTAAGTTTCTATCAAGTAGATGGCTGCTGCTGTTTGAGTGTGCACACACGCGTAGAGCTCAGTTTATAACTCGAACCCTGCATACACCCCAGCACGTGCATTCCGCTCTGCATCGGCCAAACAGCTCGCTGCACCCGCACTGCGAGGGGGACCCAAGTTCCCATCAGCAAAAACACGTGGGTTTG